GCCGATGCCTCCGTCGCCTGGCTGGAGTGGCCGCGGGGGAGTCTGGAGTCGGGCGGCCGCTGGTGGGAGCCGCGGGTGCCCGGGCCGAGATTGGGGGGGCAAGGCGGGCGACGGAAGGCCGATGCCTCCGTTGCCCGGCCCTCTACAGAATCCACCCCCCAAACCTCCAGGTATTTCCCTCCTTAGAGCTGGCAACCCTACATTCCCCTCAGTGCCTGTTGGTAGGCAACTAAGCTTGGTCCTGTCACCTACTTTGGCCTTTGGGAGAAAACACATTGGGGCCAATCCTGATAGGGTTGCCAACTCCAGATGGGAAATTCCTGGAGATTTGAGGGATGGAGCCTGAAGAGGGTGAGGTTTGAGGAGGGGTGGGACCTCAGACAGGTACACTGCCATAGACTCCACCCTCCAAACCAGTCAGTCTCACATAGGGAACCATTGTTGCCAATCTCCAGGTGAGGGCTGGAGAGCACTCAGTATTACAACTGCTCTGCAGAAGGGAGGGCAGAAGTCAGCTGAAGTCAAAGGGGCAGATAATGGTAGGTTGGTGGCTAGCTGGGAAGGAGATGGGGTTGCCAACTACATGCTGACAAATTCCTGGGGATTTGAGGGGTGGAGCCTGGAGAGGGTGGGGTTTGCAGAGGGGTGGGACCTCAGACAGGTAGAATGCCATAGACTCCACCCTCCAAACCAGCCATTTTGTCCTGGGTAACAATTGCTGCCAATCTCCAGGTGAGGGCTACAGATTACTCACAATTACAACTGCTCTTCAGGTAGCAGAGATCAGTTCCTCTGGAGAAAACAGTGGACTCTGTCATTATACCCTGCTGAGGTCACCACAGCAAATTGACACTGTTTGCCCAAAGCCAGAGCACTGCCCCAGAGCCTCTTTCTAGATCTCGTTGTATTGCTTTCACAACGGGCTTTACTGCTAGTAGGTTATAATGGAGAATCGATCTGGGGATATCTGGGGTTCTGAGGGGATCATTTTTTGAGGCAGAGGCATCAAATCTGCAGCATAGCTGCTGGTGCCTCTCCTCAAAAAAATCCTCCAAGTTTCAAAAAGATTGGACCAGGGGGTCCAATTCTATGGTCCCCAGAAGGAGGTGCCCCCATCCTCCATCGTTTCCAATGGAGGAGGAAATGCTTGTGAGCTGGAAGCTGAAATCCCTGAGCAGCCAGGTAAAGTTTTGTGTGCCAGCACCCCCTAGTGCAGCTTAGAGGGAACATCATGCAAGACCTGTGATAGCTATGGTGGCATCGTGTCAGACTAGGATCTGGGATATAGATCAAGATGGGTCACCACGTTAGTCTGTCTTTTGCAGTAGAATAGAGCAAGAGTCCAGGAGCACCTTAAAGACGAATAAAATTGTGGCAGGGAATGAGTAGAAGAAGTGAGCAGTGACTCATAAAATCCCATGCCCTGCCACAAATGCGGTTAGTCTTTAAGTTGCTCTTTCACTCTAGGATCTGGAAGAGCCAGGTTCGAATCCCCTCTCTGCTATGGAGGCTTGCTGTGTGATCTCGGGCCAGTCACGCACACTCAGCCTAACCTACCTCACAGGGTTGTAAGGATAAAATGGAGGCGAGGAGAATGATGTAAACCCCAGTGGGTCCCCATTGGGGAGGAAGGTAGGGTATGACTAAAATGAATAAATATGAATAAATAAGTTATGGAAGAATTGCTGCCACCAGGGCCAGATCCTTTTCAGTGGCGGCCCCTACCTGGTGGAGCGAGCTCCCAGAGAAGATCAGGGCCCCGCAGGACCATATGCAGTTCCGCAGGGCCTGCAAGACGGAGCTCTTCTGCCAGGCTTTTACATAGGGGCCGCCACTACCACTATCGCCACCATTAGTGGTGGGGATAGCAACGGGGTTAGGGACGGTCCCAGGAAGATCAGCCACAATCTTGACACCGCTGGACTGGCTGACCATCGACAGGACAATATCACCCCCAAGGAAATGAATGATACCATCACGGAATTATTCGGAGGCCATCTTGTTTGCATGGAGCCCTTTATTCTTGTTTATGTTGTCATTTAATTGTTTTACTGTTTTATCCTGTTTTTATGCATGGGCTTGTGCCCTCTTGTAAGCCGCCCTGAGCGGGGTAAAAATGTTACCAATAAATAAATAAGTAAATACATTTAATGATCTTGCTCTGAGAAGTAGAGTCTTGGAGAAAGATCCGTGGCATTTACAAGTCCTGGGAGCTCGTCTCCGTCTCAGGCTTGGCCACATCGTCGCTTCTCTCCTCACCAAAGACGTTTTCGAAGGCCGAGAGGAAGGAAGGTCTTGGCCGCGCACTGAAATCGTACCCCACGACTACGTAGACGATGGGATTGACGCAGCTACTGGCGAAAGCCAAACCCGTTGTCAAGGGAAGGCCAGCAGTGAGCACGGCTGACGTCTGTAAGTACAGAGTCTCAAAGAAAGAGAGAATGTGATAGGGTAGCCAGCACAGATAGAATATCACCGTTACTTCTTTGATGACCTTAAAGGACTTGGCCGACCACGCCCCATCCCTCTGCCCCTGATCGATCTTCACGTGGCAAACTATGGTCACGCTGATGGGGACGATGAAGGCAAAGACGTACTGGCTTATCAGGATAAGGTGATGGTTGATCTTTGCTTTCCTGCCATAACTGAGGAAGCAGATGATGACTTCTTCGTCGATGGGGGACGGTTCGGCGTGTCTGAATTGGATTCTCGGCGAAGAGGACGCCAGTGCCAGGAACCAAATCCCGCCAGCCACCAACCAAGCGAGCCAATTCCTCCGGTGGCTTTGAGCCCAGGCAGAGCTCCTGACAGAAGCACAACGTTCTACACTGATGACCGCGAGGAAATAAGCACTGGCATAGAGGTTGAGGTAGGCTATGGAGTCGTTGAGCTTGCAGACGGCTTTGCCAAACGGCCAGTGAAGCTTCAGGGCGTGGTGTGCGATTCTCAGCGGAAGGAAGCAGGTGAAGATGAAGTTTGCGATGGTCAGGTTGAGAAACCAGATCGTGTTGACCGTCTTCTTCATGTAGAAGCCGAGGATGAAAATGACCAACCCATTACCTACCAGTCCCAACGCGAAGATAATGCTGTAGATTGCCAAGAGGGTGAATGTTATCTTTCTCGTTAACATTTCATGCCAGTATTCGTCATCGGAATAATTGGGGAAAATAGGGATTCGGGAACCAGCGTAGGCAACGTCAAGAGGTGTGGATCCCATTGTGTTCTTCAGGCTGTTTGCTGTTGGGCTCACGGCCATAATAAGAACACAAGAACCCGCATTGTTCCGTCTCATTCTGGATTCTGATTCCACTACTGGTACTTGCTTCGGCAGCACATATACTAAAACTGGATGCCACCGCTGCTAACCAAGGGTCCCTACAACTTCATGGGCAGGGGACAAATTCAATAACTTTCCCTTATTTTTTTAATATTTAGGGTCCAGTTAGTATTCACAAGAATCCTGTTGCTAAATATGGAAGCAGTATTTATTTATTTATTTATTTATTATTCACATTTCTATCCCACCCTCCCCGAAGGCTCAGGGCGGCTAACAAGCATATTGCTACATAAAACAATAAAAACAGTACAAAATATTAAAAATACATCACAGTTGATAAATAATTTTTGATGCTCCTCTGAATGACATAAGTTACACTTTCTAAAAGCAAGATGGCCATCCCCCAAACGTCCCGTTCTCACCCATGATGCAGACATTATTTGGGGGGGCATTGGTGGTACATGCCCATGTCCTGATGTCCATATATAGAAAATCCATATACAGCAAATCCATATACAGAAAATTCAGGGCGTTGATGGTACACTGGTGCGTTGGTGGTACACTGGTAGTGGTGGCGGCTCCTATTCAAAAGCCTGGCGGAAGAGCTCCGTCTTGCAGGCTCTGCGGAACTGTGCTAGGTCCCGCAGAGCCCTGATCTCCTCTGGGAGCTCATTCCACCAGATAGGAGCCGCCACCGAGAACGCCCTGTTCCTGGTCATAATTAGTTTGATGGAGCGGGGGCCCGGTACATCCAATAGGTTCCGGCTCCCCGACCGTAGTGCCCTTGGGGGAACATGTGGGGCAAGGCGGTCCCTTAGGTAGGCTAGTCCCTGACCGCGAGGCTAATGGCTAATAGCTCTCAAGAGAAACAAAGTGTGGTGTTCCTGCTTACTGGGGAGACAGTTTTACCTTTAAACACTCTTTGTATACCTAAACTTGGTAGATTTCTGCTGCCACCAGGAATTCAAAATTCCAAATCTCTCCCTGCTGGTAGAATGACCCAGGGTCTGGGCACTTCAGAGGACGATGTGGCCCTGAGGAAGAACCGTTGTCCTGAGCCTGTTCGCGGGGAGGGCGGGGTATAAATACAATAAAATAAAATAAATAAAACAAACTGTACTGATTGCTGGGATAAGTTTAATTAAAATCTGATTTATTTAATAAAGAACAAAATAGGTTTCTGGTTATTCTGAACTGTTACTGGGAAAAGAGAACTTGTAAATATAACGGGCAAAACTTGATGTTACAAACAGTCACTCAAACTGTACTCTGACAGGCATAGACTCTCAGTATAATTTCTCTCTCTCTCTCAAAACCAGTGAGGATTGTGAGGCACTCCAAAGGGATCTGTCAAGGATGGGCGAGTGGGCGTCAACATGGCAAATGGGGTTCAATGTGGCCAAGTGCAAGGTGATGCACATTGGAGCCAAAAATCCTAAATATAAATACACATTGATGGGGTCTGAACTGGCAGAGACTGAGCAAGAGAGAGATCTTGGAGTTGTAGTAGATAACTCACTGAAAATGTCGAGACAGTGTGTGACTGCAATAAAGAAGGCAAATGCTATGCTGGGGATTATTAGGAAGGGTATTGAAAACAGATCAGCCAATATAATAATGCCCCTATATAAATCAATGGTGAGACCTCATTTGGAATACTGTGTGCAATTCTGGTCACCACACCTTAAAAAGGATATTATAGCTTTGGAAAAAGTGCAGAAAAGGGCAACTCGAATGATAAAAGGGTTGGAACACTTTCCCTATGAGGAAAGGTTAAGGCGCTTATGTCTCTTTAGTTTGGAGAAACGACGACTGAGGGGTGACATGATTGAGATTTATAAGATTATGCATGGGAAAGAGCAGGTAGAGAAAGAGGTACTTTTCTCCCTTTCTCACAATACAAGAACTCGTGGGCACTCCATGAAATTGCTGAGCGGTTGGGTTAGAACGGATAAGAGGAAGTACTTCTTCACCCAAAGAGTGATTAACACTTGGAATTCACTGCCACAGGAAGTGGTGGCAGCTACAAGCATGGACAGCTTCAAAAGGGAATTAGATAAGCATATGGAGCAGAGGTCCATCAGTGGCTATTAGCCATAAGGTATAGATAGGGGCTCTGGGGCAAGTGATGCTCTGTCTTCTTAGTGCTTGGGGGGGGTCAACAGTGGGAGGGCTTCTAATGTCCTGGCCCCACTGGTGGACCTCCTGATGGCACTGGTATTTCTGGCCACAGAGAGTTGGACTGGAGGAGCCATTGGCCTGATCCAACATTGGCGTCTCTTATGTTCTTATGTTCTTATATATATAGCCAAACAGGCTAATCTCCTTGTCTTATTCACCCAGAACAGAATCAGCTCTTATAGTCGCTCAGACTAAACCGTTTGCCTTATTCACACAGAATAGAAGCAAAATTCCATAGTCATACCGACCGTGCTGTCTCTTCAAACTTCACACACAGGACCCTGTCATAAAATAAATAAATTCATCTCTCCTCCCACACTTTCAGTCATCAGCCAGTCACAGCACACTCATCTCCCCCCATCACTCTCCTTACATTACTGCAGTCAAACTCAACATTTAAAGACACACACCAAAACATGGAATCATTACACTAGGTATCCTGCATGCATTTCCCTTTTGAAAGCATGCAAGCAAAATCAGCAGCTGTCAGCTGTCAAGGGTCATTTACACGGCAAAGGGAAAGGAATGAAAATGGAGGTTCTCTGTCCCCCCCCCCCAAATCTTCACATGTTCCCTCTTGGCCGGACTGTTTTTGGTGGTGTTAAAAGGTGGCCTCAGGGGCAATATCCCAAGTAATCACTAGATGGTAGTCAAGGACTGTAGATCTACCTCAAAAATAGAAAGGGAGGAAAATGCTGTTAAGTTACCTTGACTCCTGAGAGGAGATGAATGGAAGATCTCAGTTTGCCTCCCACAGTTAGAAAAGATGCCTTTACGCATTTATCCCCTATTTTTTAAAAATTATACTTTATTCAATTTTCAATTGTCCATTTACAATAAATAATATCAGCATTATATAGGATAAGTTTACAATAGCTTGACCACTTACAAGGGAACATTCAAATCACAGTTAGCTATTACAGGGCTCTTTTTGTAGAAAAAGCCCAGCAGGAACTCATTAGCATAATAGGCCACACCCAACACCAGAAATTCATTTGCTTATTAGGACACACCCCTGACAGCAAAGCTCATTAGCATATTAAGCTACACACCCCATGTTCGCAGAAGTGTGGTCATCCAGCCACACCCACCTTTTGCTTCTTATTCTATTTACCTTGTTTGTTGTCAAAACCCAGGGCCTTTTTTTGTAGCAGGAACCCTTTGCATGTTAGGCTACACACCCCTAATGTAGCCAGTCCTAATGAGTTTCTGCTGTTGGGTGTGGCCTATTATGCTAATGAGTTCCTGCTGGGCATGGCCAACTCGGGAGCCAGCCGGAACTCCGTTCCTGTGCGTTCCTGCCCAAAAATAGCCCTGGATATACATCGGCTTAAAAGAGAGTATTCTTTCCTTCATAAACTTAGTACTAACGTATTATATTAACATAAACTTAGCATTAACATATGTTCTATTTACCACAGGTGAAGAGTGTCTATTACCTTCAGTATTATCGCTTGAGAAACTAAATATGATACGATAGGTAGCCATATACTAATGAATTCACTATACCGGCCATTAGCTTTTGTTGGTTTCATTATGTCTGATATTTTCCCCCATTATATATAGATTCAGGGGTCGTTTCGTAGAAAAAGAGCTAGGGGAACTCATTAGCATAACTCATTAGCATATGCCACACCCCCTGACATCACTGGAAGTGTGTCATAAGGCCACACCCCCTGACATCACCAGAAGTGTGTCATAAGGCCACACACCCCGCCCCCAACGGTCCCGGCTGCCACCGCCGGCCTTGCAGCTCCAGTGCCGAGCCCCATGAGGGGCCCGGCAGTGGACCTGCAAGGCCGGTGGGAGTGCAAGGAAGCCCCGCGAAGGAAGGCCCTCCCTGGCCCCAGGCAGGCAGGGGTGGGGAGAGGCAGGGAGGAAGCAACTTACCCTCCCTCTTCTCCTGCCTCCTCCTGGCTGAATGAGGGCTGGAAGCAGGGGGCGGGGCTTCGTCATGTGCCCCGCCCCCTCGTACCTCACCCGGGGGAACTGCGTTCCCCCGCGTTCCCCCCCCCGAAATGACCTCTGTATAGATTCCATAGTTTCTTCTACCATAGGTTGGTTTACTTTCTGATTTCCACTTCGATTTATCCCCTATTTTGACATATTGATTGCTTTGCTGCCCTTTCACCCCTTTAATTTGGGGGGTGTAGTGGTTTGGTGTAGCCAGTGGTTTGGTGTACCCAGTTTGGGATAGTGGTTAAGTGCGCGGACTCTAATCTGAGAGAGCTGGGTTTGATTCCCCCCTCCTCCACTTGCACCTGGCTGGATGACCTTGGGCAAGCCGTAGTTCTGATAAGAGCTGTCCTTGAAAAAAGAGCAGTTTCTGTCAGAGCTCTCTCAGCCCCACCGACCTCACAAGGTGTCTGTTGTGGGGAGGGGAAGGGAAAGGAGTTTGTAAGCCGCTCTGAGACACCTTTGGGTAGTGAAGGGTGGGGTATAAATCCAATCTCTTCTTCTTCTTGTACCTCACAAGGTGTCTGTTGTGGGGAGGGGAAGGGAAAGGAGTTTGTAAGCTGCTCCGAGACACCTTTGGGTAGTGAAGGGCGGGGTGTAAATCCAATTTCTTCTTCTTCTTTTTCTTAATTAAATCAAAACAGCTCTTGACCGTATAACTACCCCCCCCCATTATGTTACCATCTTGGGGGGGTGGAGTTGAAGAGGCCCTGAGAAGAGCCCTGAGAAGATCTTTGGAACATCGTGACGCTATAGTCTGTCGGTCAAAAATTGTTGAAACTGTCCCGCCATCTTGGGTTTGGAGTTTAGTCATCACCAAGCACTTTATGTGAGATAGGATG